CCCCCCATTTTCTATGTGAAAAAATTATTTTTAGCACTTTTTTATTTTTCACGGCTACATTTTGCAAGGGAAAAATCTGAAAAAATTCTCGGACATGTCCACTTACACTACGAACATGTCAGAATTTTTTCAGATTTTTCGCGAGGCGTTAAATAAGGAAAAACCTCAAAAAACTGATTTTTCGAATTTTCCCGATTACTCCCCCCCTGGTTGAGATATAGGGCTAAAAATTGGAGTAAATGTTTCTTTTTTGATATGCTATCAAATGGCGCTTCATTTGGCTCAAGGGCACATTTGACCCCCTTATCCAGCTAGGCCCTTTATAATTAAGATATCACTAGAATAGCTCAGATCAAGTATAACGTATCTCACTATTATAGAGAGAAGGAATTCGTTTGTTTGTCGTAAATTAAAAAAAAGACTGAAACTTTTACCACAGGCCTATACCGGGGCTTTCTTATCTAGCCGTCATGCGTGTTTTGCGCTCATACGCACAATTCCCCTCCAAGGAAGGGTCCGTTTTGAGTATAAGAGGACGCTATACCTTAGCCTTTCGGATTAATCTCGCCTTGAATATCTAGCTCGTCGAAGCCCTGTCTCATCCCGTTGAGAAATTTCGAGTGAATTCATAGTCTTAAACATCCCCCGGGGCTTCACTACGTAAAACGAACAAGAAATTCTCTTATTTCATCTCATTTTCTCCTTCTTCATCTAGCAATTGTAACATGAATTTTAATCAGAATATAGACTCTAGTTTCTAATTCTTAAACTCGTTTCAATTCATTTACAACAATGCCGACTTTAATTAGCTTGGTAGCCAGAGTATCCTACGAATGGTACGTCTTTGCCGTTCGAAACGTATCAACGACGGTAATCCGCAAATTCGACAATCTTACCTAATTACCTAGTGGGAAAAGAGGACTGACTGTCCCTGGATCGTCTACGTCCTGTAGCTACCACGTGCAACTCCTTGGGTCGTTTGTGCGTCTTTTTCCTCTCCTTTCAACCATAACTGACCAAGTGGACATAATCGATCTCCATCGAGTCCTTGGCGCGGTTATCTCATAATATTACTAATGAAGGATACTATACTCTATGTATATCAATGTACCAAATCTTTGTACACATTACAGGTATTGAGAAATACTAAAAATCCAAGATATCGTTTTGTCTCAGCGTGTACACGAGTAACAAAACATGATATATTATACAAGGTGGTCCTTTTAAGTAAGGTCACCTAAATATCTCTTCAGGTTATTGTGACGTAAAATATATTTGTTACGTAATGTGCATGGTGTCAATGGACCAATATCTGGCAAGAATATTTTTTCTTCAAGATTATTTTTCTCGGAGTTACCAAGGCCATCTGTGTTTTTTTTAGGACATAATTAGATTTTTTTATTGCGCCGTGTAGCTGATCGAAAAATACATTCAGACATGTACAATAATATGACCTTGAAATAACCTTGATCTTCGAAAACTCAAGTTTTACGTAAGACTGATGTCTATGCGAGATCGCAGAAATTTTCAACAACCAAGGGCACGAATGTAAATGGATGTACTTACCATCGCAATACTAATGATATATAGTTTCAGTTTATCAATGTGTCCACGTACTATTTGAAATGGATTATACAATGCAAGAAAAAATTAACATAGTATTCATTTGAGGTAAAGTTAATCAGTGTTTAAAGGAAGCAGTTTGAATCAACAATTTCCAGATAGTAGTTGTTCATCAAGTTGTACGTATGCGAAGGTGATTAGTAATTTCTGTAGAACTGGTAGTATTACGAAACAACGTGTAAGAACCAGGAACAAAAGAAGCAAAATAAATATTGTAGGTAAAGTTAATGAAAATCCATATGTGAGTTTAAAACAACTTGAATGTGAAACTGGTATTTTTAAAACGAGCATAATACGTATACTTGAAGAAGAAATTTATCTGTCAATCATATCATTTATCTGTACATCAGGACCTTTATGGAAGAGATTTTGTAAATCGTATCCATTCTTTTCAGTGAGGTTTGTAAGTGAGCGGGTATATGTAATACGCAAATAACGAATCATTTTTTAAAAAAGTATTATTTACTGACGAAGCAGTCTTTCACCAATAATGGATAGTTACATTTGAAGAACATTATTGGTCAACTGACAGTCTACACTGGCTAAGATTAGTGGATGAACAAAGACAGTGGAGTGTCTGGTGTGCCATTTTGAATAATCAAATAATTAGACGGTATTTTAAATGGAGAAAAGTATGTAACTTTCTTGGCAAAAATGTGCTATTAATGTTTGTACATAATGTACCACTAGAGATATTCGTGTAAGACTGTGGTATTACCATGATGGCTCTCCGGCTCTTTCTACACGTCTTGACAAACAAATCTTTTATTTACAATTTCCAAATCGATGGATTGATCGTACTGGAGTTGTGGCATTGCCATCGTGTTCACCAGACCTCATACTAATGGCCTTTCTTTGGGGAATATTGAAACAAACAGATTATACTGAATGACCAAGACTATACACCAGAGGACATTTAGCATCGTACAGTTAGAGCAGGCATGGCCAAAGTTGTCGCTGCGCGACACGACCTTGCCCGGGAGCCGGAGTGGGGCACGCAGTCCGAACGGTTAATAGTGTGTGTATGATGCACGCACGTAACATACTGAAATAATGTGAGGGCTTCCTGGGCCTACTGCACGAAGTAGGGAGAACAGCTACAGTGGGGCACGTGTACTTGGCCATGCCTGAGTTAGAGCTTCAGCTAATATTAATTCCGAAACAACTATAAGATCCGTACAGTAGGTCATTGCACGATTCAGCAAATGTATCACGTAAATGTAGAAGGAATTTTGGACATATCTGAATACGACAACACATTTGATGATCGAGATTTTTAATGGGATACAAGATATTTTCTTTACATTCACAGGTTTAGGAGTCGTGGTCAAGATACTCTACATCAGTCTTACGTAAAACTTGAGTTTTTGACGATCAAGGTCATTATCAGGCCATGTTATTCAACATATCTGAATGTATTTTTCGATCGGCTACACAATGCAGTACAAAGTAGTTATGTGTTAAAAAACACCAACATCAATGTAGTCATGTATCATAATGTAACTTTTGTCTGATAAGAAAAGAAGTAACACATGTCATGTTATGAAACTTATGTAATTCATTTTAAAATCCTCTAACAGATAGGCATAAAAAAGTTATAGGTGTATTTGTAAAAAATTTAAGGTGTCTTTGAAGAATCATGTAAAAAAGAGTTGACAAAAAATTTGCCATAGTAACGTGAAAGTTCTCTTGAAATCATGCTGTAACTGATAAAAACATTTTCGGTCGGACTGTTAATAACAGAATAATTTCTATTGATCACGATTCGTAGTTCACTTTGTGTAAATATTATTACAGTATTATGTAAAATATTAATTTCCGCTTTAACATGAAACTTGTGAAGAATATAGTGTTCTTGTTACAGATCAATTAACAGTTCGCCTAGAGCAGTTAAAGACAATCCTAGAGTAAGTATTTATGAAGTATACAGGGTGTTTCGGAAAGATTGTTAAAGAAAGAATGATTGATGAAAACAAAGATTGTTAATTCCTCATTTATCCTATCATCATCCATGAATTATCAACAATCTATCCCATCCATTCCAATAACGATTTAGTGTATTAATTGTTATTCATAATAACGAACGAACAACAATTTCCTTGCATTGTTATTCATGTAGTTTGTTATTCGTAATTTTCTTAAAACGCTTCGTACTGAGCGGAGCGCTTGCTCAAACGCGTGAAAAGCCGGCCGCCTGACTCCGAGCCAGCGCTCCCGAAACAGAGACCGCCTCAACCGAGCGCTTTGATTGGTACATGTTTTTCGTTAATAACTCGCTAACCAAGCCCCATTTCGTATTTTGCCAAAGGAAATTGTTGTTCACAATGCTCCTCCCTATCTGCTATTTTCGGCTCTAACAATTTTTCCGGAACACCCTGTATATACATATATATTAGTATTCATTTATAAACTACGTAGTACTGACAAAGCTGATCACTTCTTTCATAATAACTTTGAATCTTTTTCAGACTCGCGTCTCAGTCATTAAAGGTGCACGTCGCGGTGTTCGTGTTTTAAGAGAAATTCGTTATCTCAGAAAAACTGTGTCGCTTCTTATACCGCGATTGCCTTTTTGTCGCGTGGTGAGAGAAATAATGGTCACGTGTTTTCCAAATACCGAAGTGGAGAGGTAAAGATTTCAATATTCCAGTATTGGGAACGATTTGAATATATTTTTGATCATTTAATTTTTCCTTCTCTAGAATACAAGCATCTGCACTTGAAGCTCTACAAGAGGCCGCAGAAGCTTACTTAGTACAATTCTTTGAAGACTGTGTAATAATGTCGATGCATGCAAACCGTGTTACTATTAAGGTTCAAGATTTGAGATTAGTCAGATATTTCAGAGGAAGAACTGACGTTGCAAACAAATGAATTAATTTTGTTAAACTGGACTGTATTGTATTGTATTGTATTTATTTTATTAACTTGAACTTGCATCTATACAATCTTTAACAATGAGCTTATAATCCTATAACTATGTAACAGTTAACAAATCTTCTTATAGATCGATATAATGGATGGATATAAATAAAGATTATATTTTTCTCTAACTAATTAGTCCTGCCTACGGTTTTATGGACAATTTTTATCAACTACCTTCCGTTATCTGAATTTAGTCTAATTGTACTCTTTGGATTAACTGGCCTTATGGCCTAACTGGCCATAGTACTCTTGTTCTCGCTACTTTTGCTATAAAATAGTTCAGACTACGATATGACACTATGTGAATTTAGAAGTTCCGACGGATTGTTACTGTTAGAAATAGAGTTCGATGTGTCCGCTCGACAGTGTGAAGGTGTTTGGTACGCGTGTGAACGCGTGAGCGCTTTTACATCTTGTACACGAACGTGTCGCAGTGAAAGCATCTATAAGCATTAAAATATGTTAGTTGCAAGAGCTTTTATAACTTCAGTGCAACATTCATTGCACCAGCTCCATTCAAATAGTTACTCAAGTATTTAGAAGGTCTAAATTCCGCGTACATCGGACAATGAAGTAGTATATGCTTGACTGACTCCAGCTCCTCCATGTTGTATAGCTTGCAGCTCTCATTGCTTTTCACTACGATCCCAGTATCATCGCCATCTATCTTCTAATATAGAAAGATCCTGTCATCCTTAATTGGGCATACACTCTCTTGAACCTAAGTAGTAGATTACCTTTCAAATACTCAGCGGGGCCGTCAATGCCATGGGCCATTATCTGTTTATAAGTAACATTAAATGATGAGTTGAGTGCCCTAGTCAGGTCCTCCTGAAATAGTTTCTCTTCAATCTTTCCCAGTGTCATATTTCTGCATTCGAACCTATTTTGCAAGGTGGCCCCTCCACCGTGTTCTTACAACCAAATCTTCCTAGTCTATGTAACAATTGTTTATACTAATTTCTTTTGTCTACAGCGTATCTACCACTTCACTAGATTACATCTATATCTAGATTCATTTTCACTAGATTATTGTAGCATATTGCTGGAAATCTGTTGCTTTTTATTCCTTCCAAATTCAACTAATAGTTCAGAGCTCTTTTAATAACTTCGTATACCAACTTCAAACGACCTGCTTCTGGTGTGCATCTGGCTACGTTCGGGATTCTTTTGATGAATTCTGTTTGTGCTTTTTCTATTTTTTCAGGTTGCCATAGACCCCATACACCATATTCATAAGAGCGCGTCGCCAATACCACAGCGTCGAAAAGCTTCATAATGGCTCCCCAATCAGAGCATTTCGTTACTATTAGTGGATTTCAAATTGAACCCATAGCTATTCTAGTTTTGCTTACAGAGCGCCTGACTATGAAGGCAAAAGATCAAAGATTGGAAATGTTTATGCTTAGATAGCACTACTCCCTCACATATTCTACTTCTTTATTATTATACGTTATTTTTTTAATGTGTCCTGCCTCCCTGATTTATTCGCTACTAAAATCTTGGTCTTGATCACGTTGACTTTTAGCATATTTCCCTTACAGTAGGCCAACAACGTATTCAGTTTATTGTAAGTTTAGTGTAAGTCCGAAACACTTGATGCAATTAAAACTAAATCGTCTGCAAGAAGCGGGAGTTCCATCCTACTAATTATTTTTGTATGCCCTTCATTTTTCTTATGAAAAGCTTATCAATGTCGTGCAGCATTAGCGCGAAAAACGTTGGACTTAGAAAATCACCCTCAATAGTCCTTTAGATATTTCTATCTTCTTCGTTATCGTAGTGCTAACCTTGATCCTTGAACTTACTTTCTCGTATAAATCTCTTACTGCCTGAATTATCTGTACATTTGCTCTTGTCTCATACATTTGACTCCACAAACAGGAGTGTTATACGGAGTCAAATGACTTTATAAAATCTACAAACGCAATAAAGAGTTTCGCTTTGTCTTTTCTTAGGGCTTCTGTCATTTTATAATGTAGAACAGATATGTTGTCTTCTCAAGTTCTGTTCATTTTAAAGCCTGTTAAAGGTCTGTATTCTATCAGGATTGATGAATAATTCGCAGAGCCTGAACCAAATTAAGAATGAATTTATTAAAGAAAAAGACATATAAATGAACCACGTATAAATCGCTTTAAATTCGCAACCGTTTGCTTTAGCTATCGGAACTGAACTGTCTAACCGTCCTTTACTGTGTGACAACAGGAACGTATTACTGTTTTCTTCTCGCAGAACATCGGAGCCTTCTTTTGTTTTTGTGTGTCCCTACCGTAAAAGTCCCTACGTGATATTGTGTCTTATAAACAACCTTACCGATTTTACGGAATATGAATACTTCGTTTCAAATTACATGGTAAAGCTAATTCAACAAAGCCATATTGACATTTCGGTAGTACCTCGTTGCTTTTGTACCACAGATTTATATTCTTCTACTCAATATTGTTGTAATACTTCCCAAAATCGTGTTGGCAAGCGCTATCCCACGATAGCTGTTAGGGTCGTTGGGTTCTCCTTTTTTGTAAATCATTATTGTATTCGTGTCACGCCAGCTGCTGAGGATCTTTCTCTCTTGCAATATTTTGTTAAATACTCGAAGAAGCACTTGCATAGCTGAATCGGGTAGATTTTTCAGAAATTCGTTAGCTATTCCGCTTGGTCCATGTGTTGTTATTCTTAAGTCTGCTAATCACTTCCTTGAGCTCATCGTGAGAGATCACATCATCCAGAGATGGATGTCTTGCGTCGTATTCTCTCAACGATAGCTGCCTTCGTTGCGCTTTAGGTAATTTTTCCATACTTCTTTTCCTAACATGCATTCTTCTGATTTACTGCCTCTTAACATTTTTACTAGTTTCCAAGAGCTCGTTGCACCATTCACTTTAGCTATTCTCTTTTGGAGTTGCAGGGTATATTCTTTCCTTTTTACTTTTATTAAGCTCTTGAATTTGTTCCTGATTTCTACATATTTAACTCTAATTTCGCCGTTCTGAATGCGCCTAAGTTCCGTAGCGATCTCTCTGACTTCCTTTCTAGCATTATAGCATTCTTCGTCAAACCACGCTTTTTTTCTTGTCTGCCCATTGGTGGGCATTTTCACCTTCTTTATCATATCCGCTCTCTCTTCTATCAATTCGACTAGAGTTATATGTTCATCATGAGTTTGAACCCCGTTAGGGTTCTCTAAGAGTGCTCACTACGTGCATGGATTAATTCCATATACAGGGTGTCCCAGGACTAGTGGTACATATTTTAATGGGAGGTTCCTGAGGTGATTTTAAACAACTTTTTCCTTTGCGAAAAAGTTGTCCGAGGCGTGGTTATTGTGTTATTAATAAAAATCCCCGACCAATCAGAGCGCGAGTATACATGGCGGGCAGGAGCGCGGCAACCGCCTCGTGCGTTGCCGCGCCCGTATGTCGCGCTCACGACGAGAGTACAGGTTGGAACAAAAGTTTCATGCAAAAAGAAACTAAGAAATTGATGAACTATTACAGAAAACAAAGCAATTAGTCGTTAGTCACGTTCGCTCAATAAATGTAACATACTGAATGAAATAACTAACAACTTTATAAATTACACAGTATGTAAAGCATAAAAAATGGGAAAATAATGAGAGTTAGACTTACTTCTTGGTTGGTAGGTGCACCTGCTCGTAGAAGAACGTCAATGGGTCAATGGGTCGACCTTCGACACTTGAAGATAGGACACATGGCTCGCAGCAGCTGATGCTTGGAGTAAGTCAGTGACCTGCACCCGATGGTTTTTTCCTTATCATCACGATCATTGTCACTTTCCCACTGGCAAATTTTCACAAAACAAAAATTGTCACTTTTACACTTTCCAAATTCACTGCCACTTTACATTTTACAAATCCACTGTCACATTGCACTTTGCAATTGAAAATTTGCATACACGTTTTCATTTTAATTCTTAGCTCCGATCGGAATACTGTTCGCGGAACAATTCCACTGCCGCTCTCGGATTATAACTCACTTACGCGTAAATAACGAACATATTAAAATATTCCGTGTTCGTTAAGGCACGCACCGTTCTGTTTAGTAACGCAAGGCGAAGCCAACTGATCGCTCGCTCGAAGATTTTCTTCCAGGAAATCTTTCCTCACTCGGGGGACAAGCAGGATGTGTACGACAAAAGGCAATTCGGCCTTGGCATCTGGTAAGTGTAAGTCTGAGAACTGTCTCTTGTCATCGGTTCGAGTGTTCTGCACGTGAAGAATTTTTAAGGACGACAAAGAAACGAAGGTCGGGTTTAGTTGAAAAATACAAACACATTTTCTGTAACGAACTTGTCCCCCGAGTGAGGAAAGATTTCCTGGAAGAAAATCTTCGAGCGAGCGATCAGTTGGCTTCGCCTTGCGTTACTAAACAGAACGGTGCGTGCCTTAACGAACACGGAATATTTTAATATGTTCGTTATTTACGCGTAAGTGAGTTATAATCCGAGAGCGGCAGTGGAATTGTTCCGCGAACAGTATTCCGATCGGAGCTAAGAATTAAAATGAAAACGTGTATGCAAATTTTCAATTGCAAAGTGCAATGTGACAGTGGATTTGTAAAATGTAAAGTGGCAGTGAATTTGGAAAGTGTAAAAGTGACAATTTTTGTTTTGTGAAAATTTGCCAGTGGGAAAGTGACAATGATCGTGATGATAAGGAAAAAACCATCGGGTGCAGGTCACTGACTTACTCCAAGCATCAGCTGCTGCGAGCCATGTGTCCTATCTTCGAGTGTCGAAGGTCGACCCATTGACCCATTGACGTTCTTCTACGAGCAGGTGCACCTACCAACCAAGAAGTAAGTCTAACTCTCATTATTTTCCCATTTTTTATGCTTTACATACTGTGTAATTTATAAAGTTGTTAGTTATTTCATTCAGTATGTTACATTTATTGAGCGAACGTGACTAACGACTAATTGCTTTGTTTTCTGTAATATTTCATCAATTTCTTAGTTTCTTTTTGCATGAAACTTTTGTTCCAACCTGTACTCTCGTCGTGAGCGCGACATACGGGCGCGGCAATGCACGAGGCGGTTGCCGCGCTCCTGCCCGCCATGTATACTCGCGCTCTGATTGGTCGGGGATTTTTGTTAATAACTCAATAACCACGCCTCGGACAACTTTTTCGCAAAGGAAAAAGTTGTTTAAAATCACCTCAGGAACCTCCCATTAAAATATGTACCACTAGTCCTGGGACACCCTGTATATATACATAT